ACTTGCAGTGGCTGATGCCTTGTATCTTTACAGATCCCTGTACTGTCATACAATAATAATAATAATAATAATAATAATAATAATAATAATAACCATAACCACCATCTTTATTTATATCCTGCCACCATCTCCCAAGAGGGACTTTGGGTGGTTTACAAAAGCATGTAGTAGTGCAACAGAATACACAGAATACAATAAAATACATATCCCACTGTCATTTTACACAAAACAAATATATTAAAACAGCATAAAATCCCTTCTAGTTAAATAAAAATACTCAATAAAACACAGTGGTAGCTGCAGATTAAAATACAGCCGAATCAGTGTCAGTTTCCTAACATGCAGGAGTAAAAATTACCTATTGTTTAATCATTTATTTGAAGGCCTGCTTGAAGCACCATGTTTTCACATTTTTTTGAAAACATTGGAGTGTGAGGGCTAGTCAAATTTATTTGGGGAGGGCATTCCAAAGCTGAAAAGCCACCACCAAGAAGCCCCTCTCCCTTGTCACCACCAACCGCGCTTGAGACGGAGGTGGGACTGAGAGGAGGGCCTCCATGGTAGATCTTAGAGGCTGCGCCTGTTCATAGGGGGAGATGCGGTCTTGAAGACGCGAACGGTTTAGGCTTTGTAGGTTGTGACCTGTACTTTGAATTGGGACTGGAAACTTGTTGGCAGCCAGTGGAGTTCCTTTAATAGCAGCTTGGTATGCTCCCTATAAGCTTCCTCAGTTAGTATTGAATTTTTTACAGCATTTTTACCTCCTTCTCAACCCCCAGAGGGGGACTCGGAGTGGCAGCTGACCTTTGCACTAATTGCAGTTAGCGAGCTGTTTTCAAAGGCAGCCCCACATAGAGTGCATTGCAGTAGTCTATGCTAGATATAACTAAGAGATTGTGAGTTTGAATTAGTTACAGATGCATTAATTTAAAGTTCATTAATTCAAGCCTATATCTATTAGATAATGCATCTAAGAATATACAGGTGAAGGAGCCCCCGGTGGCGCAGTGGGTTAAAGCACTGAGCTGCTGAGCTTGTTGATCAAAAGGTCGCAGGTTCGATTCCGGGGAGCGGCGTGAGCTTCCGCTGTCAGCCCTAGCTTCTGCCAACCTAGCAGTTCGAAAACATGCAAATGTGAGTAGATCAATAGGTACTGCTCCGGTGGGAAGGTAACGGCGCTCCATGCAGTCATGCTGGACTCATGACCTTGGAGGTGTCTACGGACAACGCTGGCTCTTCGGCTTAGAAATGGAGATGAGCACCACACCCCAGAGTCAGACATGACTGGACTTAATGTCAGGGGACTACCTTTACCTTTACCTTTTTACTGTATGACTCTCTGGGCATTCTCTAAAAAAATTACACACCAGTGTGGCTGTGGGATAAAATGCACAAATCATTCTGAAATGGAGTGTTCTGGAAAGAAACATGGCTACAAGCCTGCCTGAAACAGGATTGTTCTGTGCTGTAACATTTTCTTGCAAGTCCCACTTGACTTCTCACATTCAAGCAACTTTCAAGGAATTGCATCCTGCTGCCGCTTCTCCTAGTGCTTCTTATACATAGATACAATTCATTGTATAAATGTGATTTTCTCAACCACAAAGGTGGATAAAAACTATTCACTCTGAGAAATATGTTGTGAAATTGACATTTTTAAAATAAGATTAACAATCACATTTCTTTCTGTCTGTCTCAGCATTTGCGCATATACCTGTCCTGATGCAACACTTGGCAAATAACTACAAACACTGGAAAACGTTAGATGAGTTAAAGTGTCGGAGCCTCCGGCTTCCTTCAGAGAATAATAATGGAAGCTGAAAGAACGATATGGAACATCATAGTATTCCACTCACACTGTGAACCATTTACTGATATGGACCCAAAAGGAGTAGACTTTCCTTCACAAAGAAGTAAACAAACAAGCCAGCGAGGAAAGGAAAGTTATTTCTCAACTTCGGGATGGTTCCAAGTTCTACAAAAATTTGTTTTTATACAGGTGATAATCTAGAGACCAATAAATGCTTTATAAAGCTATCCTCTTTTGTGGCACAATAGATCCTTTTAAAAGTAGTTTTGTAAAAAAAAAATGCTGTAATTTGTCAAATTGACAAAATGAGTACATTTTTGTTTGCAGGTCAAAACTGATTATACATATGAATCCCATATGAGGGTGTCATGCTAAGGAAAACTAGCTTCTTTGGAATAGCAACCAACTATTTGATAAAACTTGTTATTTTAGGAAAGCCTCGTTTACAGCAACTATCCTTTATATGATGCAAGAACTTTAAAGAGAACAGAACAAGGAACATGAGAAAACCAGCAAATTCAGCTGTGCTTTAGTGGGGGGAAATGACTGTTTAAAGAGCAATTGTTCACTTAAATCTAGCTTCAGTCCTGTCAGAGAATACTGTCAGCTGCTTATTCCTTCAACCATTAGATGTGTTCAAACATTGTTCAATTTCGGAGAGGCACAGTTGCCGTGACCCAAACATGTCCATGAGTTTCCCCAATTTCTTCAATGGGCTTCAGTGTCAAAGCGGACAGTCTCTGTGCACATACACAGCTAGCCTTTGTCACAAATTGGGGAAACTCTGGTTTCCATGAACAAAGATTCCTTAGATCTGTTTTGCTTGTTCAACCAGCATTTATCTGAAAGGAACACTGGAAAGTAAACTGATACTTTCTTCTGCCTTCAAACAGCTGACAGTGAGCCATATTGTGAAGGACTAGCACCTTCCTAGCCCTCAAAACAATCTTGCTTAAATCAAATATGATGTTCACCGTAGTGCCATAATTGACCCTCTGCATCCCTCTTTGGAATTAAAAAGCTGTTCTGGATGGAGCTCCTCACCTTTGTGGAGCAGCTTTTGAAGGGTTTATGGGGGTGTTCTATGAGGGAGGATTGTTTCCTGTCACTTGCATTCATGGAAGATGCTTCCAGAATCACAGAGACTGTGTTGGATATTAGTCTTTGTTTGCCACAGCAGCAGCACTAGCGTCCTCCTCTGTATTGTTATGCAGTTAAAGCTGTCCACTTAAACATTTAAAATGGAGATAGCTGCAGCAGGTCTAAGGAACAGTCTGCATTTGATGTTTTATATGTGAGCCATACGATGAAGGAACCCTACTTTTATTTGTAAGTGTATATATTACACACAAACACACACACAAACTAGCCATATTCAGAAAGATATCTGAATCTACAGCTGTGCAGAGGCCTCCTCTTAACTTTTTTAGATGGGAGATAGATGCTCACATTTCCCACAACAGAGGATAGGATTCCCCCTGTGCCTTGATAACCTGGACTATCACCATTGTTAAGTAGTCTTAAGACACTGACCATAACATTATGAAAACAAGGCCATGTATTTTCTAATCCCAGAGTTCTGCTATATTAAAAGAAAAACCACTGTGAAAATTTTCTATCAATATTCTTGCAAGATCCAAATAAAAGCAGAATAAATAATGCAGTCCTAATAAAGCCCATTACAACTGTGGTAAAGAAATTGAACGCAGCGAGTTCTACTGGACATAATGACATTTTTGTTTCAGCTGCCAAAGCACAAATGTCTTCATGCTCTCTGTAATCACACTTGGAGACGGTCCTGTACAAACCACAAACTGAATGAGTGTTGTGCCTTGATGCAACTGCCATTCACTGCAATAGGGCTTTCACAGGAGTTATTTCTCACAAATTCTATTCTCTTCCTTGAGAAGTATGAGTCGAGCTTTGGACCAGCACATTCCTTATATAAACTCATTAGATTAGACAATCATCAATTATCATTTGTTACTCACAAAGACTTTCTAATCATTTGACTGATATTTAACACTGTACGTTAGAAGAGGCTCTTCAAATGGTGAGATGTATATAATTTTGCATCAAGTATTACACTGCCCATTAAAAAGGACAAGACTTTTAAGTTTTGTAGTCCAGGTTGGTTAACCAGGTGAAGTAAACTTCTGGGAAAAAATGACAATGATTGTAGCTTACATAACGTGCCAACATTTTTTTTCAATGTTTTGTATCAAGTTATGTAAAATAATGTAAAACACTCATAATTTCCATGCAGAGAAATGTATATAAGCTATATTTTTGTTAAATTTTAACAATTTACATTGCTTTGTATTATAATGCCACACTGTGCTGTTTCAATGATAGTGGTTCACTGCGATATTCTTAATTTCTGATATGTACTACCATCAAGGCCTATATCTGATTAAATTTTAATTTAATTTTTATTCACATAGTTTTAACTCTTTAGTTTTATTTATCATGGGTTGTGTCCAAAATAAAACATATGCGAACAGAAGGGGAGATCTCCTTCTACCTGTAGAGACTTCCTACTTCAGTCGAAGAATCCTCCGAATGGAAATGGGAAAAACTATCAACCATCTTTCACTCCCACACCAGGGATTTTTAGTAGCATTTTTAGATGGTGATACGGTTGAAGTGAGCGGGCCAAGATAGCTTTTGCCTTTTCGTCTGTTGATGGGGGCTGAAAAACGTCACTCAGAAGTTACTCCTGCCTGTGAAATAAAGGCTGCATCCAACTCTTTATTTACTACTGCATATACCCTGATGTCGGAGAGGCTGCCACCGCCCTGCTCCCTTCCTTCCTTTCTCTTTCTCTTTCCTTCCTTTCCCTCCTCTCATATCTTTCCCAGTTTCCTTTCTTTCATTCCTTCCCTCCTTTTTGTTTCTCCCTTCCTCCCTCCTTCCCTTCCCTGTCTCCCTCACAATGTCTCCATGGCAACATGGCTCTTTCCTTTTTTCTTCCTTTCCCCTCATACGCATATCACCTTTCTTTCCCAGTGAAATCACAGAGGGCCACTTTACCTAGCAACAGCCTTTGTGGCACAAAACATATAGACAGACATACATTCATACTTCGACACACGCACACAGAGACACACTGTTTTATCCTCTGCCAATATCTCAAATGCCCAAAACTATCTGGCTTCTATAGAATAATAACAAATTAAATGATAACATATATAATTAATGGCAGGGATTTATTGTAAAAAAGGTGAACAAAATTAAACACAACTTTTTACAAATAAATAGCACATTTCAGTCCTACTTCCACACAGTTATTCACATTTAAGGAGTTTTAACTCCTAAGCTGCAAATCTTCAGTTTGTTCCAATTTATGAAATAACATTAAGCTGCGCACTCTTGATTCCCGTTCTCCATCTTTCCACAAGATGATGAAGTTATCAGCAGAGCAGGTTGCCAGACCATGTTCGGTGAAGTACAGGAACATCTGCAAGGAAACCCATTATGTCAACCTAACACATTCAAATTGGTCACTTTTTCTACATGCAAAAAACCCCTCACATAATGTAGCACCCTCACCCTAGATCAGCGTTTCTCAACCTGGGGGTCGGGACCCCTGAGGGGGTCGCAAGAGGGTGTCAGAGGGGTCACTAAAGACCATCGGAAACACATATTTCTGATGGTCCCAGGTTTTGAACAGGGGCAAAAAAATCCCGGGACTGCAGAAGAGGTCCATATGGAAGAGGTCCACAGTGTTCTCTGGAGGTAGGTGAACTACATTCCTCCCAAATCCCTGTAGTATTTTCTGTTCATCATGGGGGTTCTGTGTGGGAAGTTTGGCCCAATTCTATCATTGGTGGGATTCAAGGGGCACTTTGATTGTAGGTGAACTATAAATCCCAGCAACTACAGCTCCCAAATGTCAAGGCCTCTTTTTCCCAAACTCCACTAGTGTTCACATGTGAGCATATTGAGTAGCTGTACCAAGTTTAGTCCACATCCATCATTGTTTGAGTCCACAGTCCTCTCTGGATGTAGGTGAACTACAACTCCAAAACTCAAGGTCAATGCCCACCAAAACCTTCCAGTACTTTCTGCTGGTCATGGGAGTTCTGTGTGCCAAATTTGGTTCAATTCCCTCATTGGTGGAGGTCAGAATGCTCTTTGATTGTAGGTTAACTATAAATCCCAGCAATTACAACTCCCAAATAACAAGATCAATTATCCCCCCCCCCCCCCCCCCCCCAAATTCCACCAGTATTCCAATTTGGGCATATCACGTATTTGTATCAAATACATCCTGCATATCAGATATGTATATGATGATTCATAAAAGTAGCAAAATTACAGTTGTGAAGAACCAACAAAAATAATTTTATGGTTGGAGGTCATCACAACATGAAGAACTGTATTAAGGGGTCGCGGCGTTAGGAAGGTTGAGAAACACTGCCCTAGATGGTACATTTGAGGAAACACAAATGCAAGCCCCATTTGTGTTTCCTCAAATGTTTTACAGGTGAAACATCTGGAATGAAGCAACTGAAATCAAGCATTATATATGTGGTTATTTACTATCTAACAGCTTTTTTGCTGCAACTTCCAAGAAATTACTGAATACATACAGAAATGATTAAGTATGTAATAGTGTATGTATTCATGGCACATTTTTCCTGCATCAGTTGTACAGGAATCTAGCTACTGACTATTCTAACAGACCTGAACAGCTGAAGAATGGCCAATCAAATCCCCAATAAGATCCAAGGAGAAAACAGTGGTGCTCTCGGGTGCCTTCTTAGCTATGTGACTGGTTTGCTTGTTTGTCCTTCCAAATCCCCAGATACTGAAAAAACCTGGAAAAGTAATAAATACAGTTAAAAATTAAGAAGAATGGTGTATGAAACTCACATCCTCAAGTCTTTACTCAATCTTCACTTTGGCCCTCACAGACATTCTCCATGAACTGGGAGCCCCCGGTGGCACAATGGGTTAAAACTCTTGTGCCGGCAGGACTGCTGACCAAAAGGTCACAGGTTTGAATCCGGGGGAGTGGAGTGAGCTCCCGCCTGTCAGATCCAGCTTCTCATGTGGGAACATAAGATAA